CCCGCATTCTCGCCGTCGACCCGTTCGTGATGACGTCCTGCTTCAGAGGAGCCATGTTCGGGACTAGGCTCCGCCGGGCTGGCATTGGAAGGCGCTACCTTCAGGGGGGCGCCGCTTGGTGAGGAACCCGGCCCCGGGTCCTGTCGTCAACCCGGAGCTCCTATGGTGGCGTTCGCGTGGGCCACTTTCGGTGCGGAGGGAGCCGGCCCCGTCGGAGGTGGTACGTCGTCGTGTGAAGGAGGAGGATGAGCACGTCCGTCGCTACATGGCTGCTATGGACGTCAGGTTCTCCAATACCTGGCAGGTTCTTCCGAGATCTCACCCGAGCTATGATCCTGTGGTGGTTCCTTCTCTTTGGGTGTCCAGCGCCCGCGCCTCAAGAACCGCGAGTGAACTAGATAATTCGATAGTATTCAATCTATATTAGCTAGCTAGTGATGTATTCGATAATATTCGAGATGATGTATTCGAGATAATATATATTATTCGATAATATTCGAGATGATGATGTATTTGAGATTATATTCGATGATGCATATTAATTATCTATTATGGTTCAGTTTTTTCTTTCGAGATTCATATATATTATCTACTATTATTCGAGATGCATATCAATTATCTACTATTATTTGATATGTGTACTAAATTGTTTATGTTTCTTCTGGATTAATTAAATAAAAGCTATGGCGGACAAATACCGGCAGAGACGAAGGAGAAGAGGCTATGTTCGCTCTCATACGCTCCCCGAGCCGGCCACATGATCTGAATGAAGAAGATGACGGCTCCCATTATCTGAATAATGCCAGCAAGGGTGATATGATATTCGATCGAGACGACCGAATTGATGAAGTCCAGAACTATGATGATGATCTTGAAATAGCAAATACCAGCAAGGTACATCTTTATAGAAGCAGGCATATGGTGATCATCACGTGTTTTTAAATGATTTTGTATATATATATAATATTAACGAATCGAGATCTTTCTTCTTTCAGCCCTCCGGATCGAGCAAATCATCTACAGGGAGCAAGACAGTGCGAGCCCCGGCCAAAAAGTTGTAGGAAGGCATATAGTACAACATCGATGACATCAAAGATAATCGTGAACCGGTCGAGCCTAAGAAGAATGCGGACAAGTTCATTCGTCAGTGTGGAGTTCTTGTGAAGGACCAACTCCCGATCTTTATTCAAGAATGGAAAAAGGCAGCAAAGCCACGTCCAGATCTTACTTTTGTTGACGATAGAGCCAAAAAACTGCTTTCGGAAGCTCTCATTTCACATTTCACGCTACCAGATCATTTCACAGCTGAAGATGTGGAGGAAGTCAAGAACGCTTCTCTTAGGAAGATCGCAGTTGCATTCAACAACCACAAGAAAACTGTATGGGCCGCGTACGTCAAAGGAGGAAAGAAGACTCCAGAGTTCATAAGAACACTAGAGAAGCAAAGAGATCACTGGCCAGATTTCGTGAAATTCAAGGAATCAGAACTAGCTAAGGAACGGTCGAGAATAAACACGATCAATGCCGCGAAAAAGGAGCAGTTCCATAGGCTGGGGCTAGGTGGCTACGCGGTGGCCCGGCCTAAGTGGGATAAGGCTGAGGAAGAGATGCATGTTGCAAGGGTTGTTCCAATTACATTGAGCTGGGCCCCCGGGTGCAGGACTTGGTTCTATGCGCATGGGGGGCGTTGGACCCAAAGACAGGCCAGCTTTTGAAGAAGGCAAGTCTTAAAGGAGTCGAGGACAATATACTTGTTGCAATGGAAGAGGCTCGAACGGGGGTGTTCATGCCCAACAGAGAGAACGACGAGCTTACGCACGCCCTGGGAAATCCTGAACACCCGGGAAGAACACAAGGCGTAGGCGTTGTTCTGTGGTATGAGGGGTTTTTAGACTGGAACGCGACTACAGAAGTCGTGCCAGAAGGAAGATGGAGGAGGAGAAGAAGAGGAAGCTGGACACTACAAGAAATATGTCAACTTGTGACCACCACTATTGGTCACTGAAAGGTCATGGTTTTTCATTTGCGACCTTTTTGTGACCAAAAACAGAAGGTCAAAAGCCGGCGGTCGTAAACTGACTATAGCGACCTTTCTTCTGGAATGGTCGTGGACGTTTATCACCAAAATATGTCCACCGTGGCGTTTTGATCACTAGCAACCTCCCTAGGTCACGTAGGCATCCAGCATGGCAAGCTGATGTGGCACAAGATTCAGCCCGGTCCAATTCGGTTTTCTACATGGGCCTAGCCCAACAATTTGGCCTTTTTACTATATATTTTCTCTATTAATTTTCTCTGGCTACATGGGCCTGGCCCATTTTATTTTCTAGGATGTGGCCTTCTATAATTCATTTCTTTTTTTGGGCCTCAGCCCTTTTACAATCCAATTTATTTTGGGCCTCCACAACATACATTTAGAAGCTTGACATCACAAGGGCAGCTATTCCAGCTTGACATATCAGCATGTACGCATGTATCCAAACCATTTTATTTCTTTCAACAGCCACAACCACAAAGTAGATAGTAGATACATTCAATAGACTAAATTAACATAGAAATGAAGCAACAAAGGGCAGCCCGAGTAGAGGAACTACATGGGACTACAACTACCATTTCTATTTCTACCAGCGGCAGTGGGAGCTAAACAAACAGCGACCGAGCTAAACTAACATCGATCATCCATCATCAATCAGTGACAGTAGAAATGAGTGGCAGCGGCGACGTTCGAGAGAGCCCCTCCCCATGCTGCGGCTTGGTTGCCTGCTACTGCTTGGTGTGTTGCATCACTAGTCACCCTGCACAGCAGGAATTTTAGCTTTACATAAGGTTTACAAGAACAGGACCCTGATACATGAGATTGACATTCACAAGCTATTTGCATTTATATTTAGAACTAGGTCACACCATTTACATTACTATTTATGTATTAACATACTAATCTAAAAGAACGTATATAGAAACATATGAATTTTATTTCTGAAGACAATTACAGAAGTACTAAAAAAACAAGAGCTCATTACACAAGAATCCAGGAAGACCCATCAATTATGCGCCGGAGCAGGAGATCTGCAGGCAGATCAAATAGTAGATTCGAGCAAGAAGGATGTACTACCTGAAACGGGAAACTAGGAGGCCAATCCGACGAGTCCCACCCAAGTTGTGGAAGGAGCAGCGGCAACAGCGGCAAAAGGACTCGATGGCCCAGACGCTATCGTGGACCTGGTAGTTGACGACGACATGGTAGTGGTGGAAGCCGCCACCAAGGTTGACCGCGCCTACGGCGTCCTCGTCGTCCTGCAAGGCGATGAGGACGGTCGGGTCAGCGTTGAGCCGGTGGTCGTGGTTCCTGTAAAAACTACAGGAAACTTTATTACTTCTCAATACTGTGGGGTCACACTTTCAGAAAACCTGTCTATCTATATACAAACTTGAAAGATAAGCCGTGCAAAGGTTCAGTGGATCCAAATAAACATGCACATCAGAAAACTAGAGGAACAGACAGTCAACACGTATATATCTAGTCAATAAAATATGCATGCAAAGTTGTACTGATGTAGACATGCTTTCACATCAAAATTCAGAAACATCAGAGTCTCGCTGCATCTCAAAATCAAGCCGATCTAACATGTAGGCACTGATTAACAGATCCAATAATACTAATGCAATTGTAATCATACGATAGAATAGAGTACAGGAGGCTCGATCGTTCAACATTTCCAGTGCAAGCATTGTACAAAGCAAAACAAATTAAAACCCAATAAGACACTATTACAGTACAGTACGACGGCGTCTATTGCCTCGATCATTCAACATTTCCCGTGCAAGCATTGTACAAAGCAAAACACCCAATAAGACACTATTACAGTACAGTACGACGGCGTCTTTTGCCCATCTAGAAAACAAGGTGACATACTGCAGGTTCAAAAATTTCCTACCAATAATGATATGTTTGTACAATGGTTGGTGTATGCGGAGCTCGTCACTGTATGATGTATAACAGATGTTGTATAACAGAGAAGAATGGAAAAAAATATTTGGTGGCATTGAGCTGTTGACAGAATTATGCAAAAAAGCTACTCAGTTGCTAGCAAGATGAATCAACGAGAACTGTGAAGGTTGGAGTCTAGAAAGGTATTCCCTGTTGGAAATCGACTACGACAGCAGTTAAGCTATGCATCATTCTTGGTGGTGGATCTCATCCCTGTCATTTTTAGCAATCACTGCACGTAAAAGAAGAAAAGCATGTCAGCTGTATTGATTTTCAAACACACAAAAATGAAGGAGCAAAAGGCAGCCAAAATATAATTGCAGGGCCCTCTTAACAAATAATGTTTGTGCTCAATCTGTTAGTACAAACACTACTATATCTGCCAAATGCACCGGCCAATTAATATGCCTATTTATATAAATGGATGGGTTAAGTGTACAAGAGTGGTAGGCCTAAAATTCCCAAAATTAGACAGGGAAACGAAATGATTGTTGCATGCCGCACGCTGTCTAGAACAGTAGTGGAAAGAGATGAGTCTGTAGGCTGCCCGCCTGCCTGCCTGATATGATGGTGAGAGAGATGGGCGGTAGCAGCGAAAGATAAGCCATATAGCTTTGTTTAATATTACTAAGATATATAGCCATTAGTTCGTTTTAACATGGAAACCAAGAGTATGTGACTCTAGCACCCTGAGAAAGATGTTAATATGCCATCATACTAGTTGATAGACAAATATTCCACGAAGAATAGATGCTTGTTTAACGGGTACAATCAGTACTGCTATCTCTAACAGAAAAATTTAAAGATATTAAAAGAAGCACCTGACAGAGCATTTTGCCAACAATTGCAATGCTTCAGTTATGTTTCAGGAAATAACAAACTACGACTTAGAGCAACAGTTTGAATAACAGTGGGTTCTGACATCAAATTGGAATTTTTTATGAGCCTCACGAACTCAAATTACATTCCATATATACTAATATGGTTCACTATTATCACGAGAGCCCCTCAATCATGCATCAATCTTAATATCATCAGCAACATAGCACTTGGAAATAAGACAAAGAATAGAGGAATTACCGAAATCGGTGAATCTCTTCCTGGGGACATGCATGAACTCTGCATACTCCCTGTCCCCATCAATCCTATGGAGTTGCAGAACCAGTGGGCGACGGGTGACAATGCCTGCAGAATCAAACCAAACAAAACAAATCAATGCGTCAGAAAAACAAAATAGAACGCCAAAATGGACAAGCTCTTTCTGCTTGAATAACCATACCTGAACCCTGGGCAGGAAATCCTTTCCAACAATGCTCTCCAGCACTGAAGATTTGCCCGAACTCTACAGTGTGCCAAAGGAGTTCAAATGTCAAAATACAGAACCGCATCTGGTAATTGTATACCCACTTGTACTGAGATGCGCTTGAACCACTCTTAACAGCGCGAGTTCATGCAGAACTGCTTGCTTGAAACTAGGAGGATTCTCATTACGTGAAACAACATGCCCCGTAGTTGATCCCAAGTGGTAATAGTACCTAGTAGTACCTAGCTTCCTAGCACTACACAATTACTGGTCATGTAGGCAACTACATGCAACCAAACTATATAGCAGAAGATTCAAACAAGCAACAGCGGCCCAAATCTAGCTTCCAACCCCTACAACAACCGCAGATCCAAGCATAGCTAGACCGCATCACCGCCAAACCGGGCATCCAAGCTGGGCGGCAAGGTTGCAAGATCTAGCAGACACAGCTGGGGCGCCATATCCAGCGGAGGAGGGAGAAAACGGACGGGGCACGCACCTGGCCTCCGACGACGGCAATGGACAGTAGCGAGTCCCAGAGGGTGGGGAGGGCGCTCTCCTCTCCGTGGTCGCCGAGCGCCGTGCAGGCGCGTTGCAGCTTATTGACAAGCGAGATCAGGTTCTCCATGGCCGCCGGTGCGGGATCTAGCCGGATCCGATCGGGCGGGCGGGGTCAAGGCGGTGGAGTGGGGAGGGAGGGAGACGAGACGATGCCGACTGCTGAGCCGAGCCGCGTCGGTCGGGCTCGAGCTGTGGATGGTTGGACCAGCGAGGGCGACGCGGATCGACGGGGGAAGGCGCGCGGCGGCCGACGGGGAAGAAGCTCATATCCGGCGATGTGGGGACGCCCAGCTTGAACTGGTGGCCGTAGTCGATGCAGAGGGGAGCCGTGGAGCTCGTGGACACCTTCACATGTCGCCATGTGGTGGGTGGGGCGGCGGCGGCGCGGAGATGGGAGGAAGGGTGCGACGGGGGGATCGATCTGAGCTAGGGTTTGGGCTGCGGGTGGGGGGTATCTCTTTTTGTTTTCTTTTTTTCTTTTTTCTTTAGATCGATGTGGGATGCAGAGATGGATGGATGGATGGATGGACGCCATGTCATCAATCCGTGGGAAGTGTTCTGATTGGTTCGGAAAGTCAATGGTTTAAAATAGTTTTCAAGTACTAAAGATAGAGGGATTTTGTGAAGAAGCTATCAAAAATATTTTTCGAAAGAGCACCACACAAATTTTCACTAGAGTTAGACCACATTTTATGGATAAGGACCAATTTGTATGCATTTCTGATCTTTCTAGCTATTTTTAATCATTTTCCGAGTGCCCGAAATGAGGTTTTTTTGTGAAGGAACTACCAAATAATTGTTGGAAAAATGGAACAAATCAATATTATAAAATACTAGGCCATGTTTAATATACAATTGACCAAATGGTTGGGTGTAAAAAGTTTTGATCCACCTCTAGTGAAAAAGACAAATTTCCGCCGATTTAGTTGGAAGCGGTCAAATTTGAACTGCAGCTGCCTCATAGTTTGCTATTTATTTTTTCCAAAAATCATTTCTAGGTACATAAGTATCTATTTTATCATAGAAACACCAAAAGTTTTCCAAGATTCAACCACTAGCTAGGAACGGTCAAGCCCGCCGTTTTAACCGCATTTTGAAACGGGCATAAAAATTCAAAAAAAATCAAAAAAATTGGAAAAACTTCGCATTGTGTCATTATATGTGACCAAGTTTCCAGGAAAAATAATAAACTTGTAATACGGTAATTATTTTAAAAAAGTGTTCTCAGAAATGAGCTATCATGCGTGAAGATTCATGGCTTTCAAGCCAAATGATCAATCTTATGGCCACATTCATGGCATAGTTTGTTCAAATGATCTCATATTGTGCACAAGGGTGCATCTTGGAATTCCAAACAATGTTGCCTAAGGGAGTTTTCATTTTCTTTGCATGGAAAATTCATTTTCCATTTTCCGAGTGCCCAAAATGAGTTTTTTTTGTGAAGGACCTACCATATATTTGTTGCAAAATTGAACCTAATCAATTTTATAAAATACTAGGCCATATTTAATGCACAATTGACAAAATGGTTGGGTGTCAAAATTTTTGATCCACCTCTGGTGAAAAAGACAAATTCCCGTCGATTCAGTTGGAAGCGGGTCAAATTTGAACTGCAGCTGCCTCGTAGTTTGCTCTTTATTTTTTCCAAAAATCATTTCTAGGTACATAAGTATCTATTTAATTAGAGAAACACCAAAACAATTCCAAGATTCAACCACTAGATAGGAACGGTCAAGCCTGCCGTTTTGACCGCATTTTGAAACGGGCATAAGAAATTCAAAAAAATCAAAAAATTGGTAAACCTTCGCATTGTGTCATTATATGTGACCAAGTTTCCAGGAAAAATAATAAAGTTGTAATACGATAATTATTTAAAAAAGTGTTCTCAGAAATGAGCTATCAAGTGTGAAGATTCATGGCTTTCAAGCCAAATGATCAATCTTATGGCCACATTCATGGCATAGTTTGTTCAACTGATCTCATATTGTGCACAAGGGTGCATCTTGGAATTCCAAACAATGTTGCCTAAGGGAGTTTTCATTTTCTTTGCACGGAAAATTCATTTTCCATTTTCCGAGTGCCCGAAATGAGTTTTTTTTGTGAAGGACCTACCATATATTTGTTGCAAAATTGGACCTAATCAATTTTATTAAATACTAGGCCATATTTAATGCACAATTGAAAAAATGGTTGGGTGTCAAAAATTTTGATCCACCTCTGGTGAAAAAGACAAATTCCGGTCGATTTAGTTGGAAGCGGGTCAAATTTAAACTGCAGCTGCCTCATAGTTTGCTCTTTATTTTTTCCAAAAATCATTTCTAGGTAAAGAAGTATCTATTTAATCAGAAATACATGGTTTGATGGCGAGACATCGAGGTTTGGACGGTGGTCGAGGGCCCCAACTCTACAGCGCGTAAGCTCGCATGCCCGCCACATCGTCACCGCGTGACCGTGGCGTTGCCATGTGTTCTGGGTGGCCTAGGCATGTCTAGTGGGTTGGGCACTCCCCAGGTGGGTGCTAGGAAGAAAATCACAACATAAGATTCTCATGAGGAGACCGATCGATGCTCAAACATGAATAAGCAGTCAAGTGTTTGATTTGCGGTACGGGAAATGCACATGGATAATGGGTGTGAGTTTTGGCTGAGGATGATCAGTTACTAAGAAGACCGTCTTCACAAATTTTCAGCTCAAAAGGAGGAGCCTAGGTGGTACTTGCTTTGCAAAGTACCACACTGGACATAAATACGAATGTTGAAGCTGGGCTCAAAATAATGAATGGATTGAGCTGGCATTTGGTGGAGGATGGTTATTTGGGCATAGGAAAGCACTGTAGAAAATGGATACCATTTGGACATGCCAAAGTGGTACTTCCTTCACAAAGTGCTGCTTTGAACAGGATAGGAAAATGAATATTGTTGAGTTATTTTTGAACTAGGCAAGGAAGGTTTTTGACATATTTGATGAAGATATGATCCAAACAATTTATGAGAATTTTTGGAATAATAGAAATATAGGTTGCTTCACAACCTAGGGCAAAAAGTGACACATGGACATGACACATAGGCAAAACTGATGAGATGGCACCTAGTCATCACAACCCACCACAATCTACAAGGCTATGACCATCTATATTGGTCGTTAACAACTAGAAATAAGGCAGCGGGCCTGCACTGTTTGCTTTGTGACCATTTCGTGTAAGGAAATTATGACCTTTCGGACCAAAATGGTCGCAATGGTTTAGGGTTTGGAGCCCCCCAAACAGCTTTTTACCAATTGGTCTCAAATGGTCATAGATCTATGACCAATTCTTCCAGGGTCACTAACAGAAGGTCACTAGTTGACATATTTCTTGTAGTGGGAGGAGGAGAAGAGGAAGCTGGAGGAGGAGCAGAGGAAGCAGGAAGCAGAATGCCTTAAAGGCCTAGAACTTTCGCACGCGGAGTTGGCACTCCTATTGCAGCGGCAGCAGCAGCAGATTGATGAAATCACCAGCCAGGGAAGGGGGTCTCTGCAGCAGCAGGAGCTAGCGGATCCAGCATTGGATAGCACCATCCCATCCATGCCGAGAAGCAGCATGGGTTCCGCACCGGGCCATGAGGCACTGCTGGATACATACCCTGTGGATGACATCATTGAGAACACTAATTGTGAGCTATATACATTAGTGAAGAACATATCCATTAAGGTGGCGGACGGCGTTACTTATACAAACCCCCTTGAAGCAACCTTTCGTTGCAATCCGATTCCAACTGGCTATGCTCGTGCCGCAGTTGATGAAGTGGTGGAAGAATATAGGGGGCTACAGCTTGACATTCCTGGAGGTGAGGACGAGCGCACTCTGGGAGAGGCATTACATCGTATCGTTCTATGGAGAAAGGATTGCATCGTCTTTCCAAGGCCACCGACACCGCGTCAGCCGGCTCCTCCTCCAAGTCCGCCACCGCATCAGCAATCGACTCCAGATCCTCCAAGTCAGGCACCGCCTCTGCAGACTCCTGCTCCTCCAAGTCCGCCAATGCGTGAGGGCACTCCTCCTCCTCCAAGTCCGGCACCGCGTGAGCCCACTCCTCCTCCTCCAAGTCATCCGGCACTGCGTTAGCCTAGGCCTCCTCCTCCAAGGCAGGCACTGCGTAAGCCGTCTCCGCCGCCTCAGCAGGCTCCGTCGCCTAAGCAACAGAGGAAGAGAACCACCGCAACTATGGCGGCTGGCGGTACAATTACAGGAGGCAAGAGATTCCAATATGGTCCAAGCCTTGCGCCTCTTCCGCAGAGGCCTTACGACATGAGCGAAGAGGAAAACGTAGCCGAAGTCAGGAGACAATTGGACGCCCATTTTGGACCGGAACCGCCACCGCCGCCAAAGGAGAAAGTGCCTGAGCATACCATTGAGCACTTTATTCGTATGGGTAAAGCACTAGCTCCCAAGCCTATTGACTCACTATGAGCGCCAAATCAGGAAGGCACATGAGCGCCAAAAGAAGGAGTCGAGCTCGAGCTCCAGCCAAGCAGCTGCCAAGAAAAGCAGGAAAACTATTCCCCGGCTGGGAGAACAAGCGGTGCAATTGATCCCCCCGCTCATTGTACCATCAACACATGTGAGTACCTTCTATGATCTGCCGGTAATAACCGACAACCATAGAAGGATGGCTGAATAGGCCGGTGTCACTGTGGAATAACTCCTAGAACTCGAGCCCACACCATTGATTACAGCGGTGGAAGTAAAACAGAAATATGCATGCGGCGAACCTTTGGTCAAGCCTGAGGAGGTCAAGAAGCTCTCAACGAGAATGTATCAATTGCATGAATGGTACATGAAAATTACCAAGACTACCAATCAAGAGTCCCTCATGGTGAAAGTCAAGGAAGATCATAACCACCATGTGAATGCTCTGCATGTCGAGTTTACAGAACTATTTCAGTTATTCAATCAAGACGCACTCGACAAATCTCTCGTCAGTTGCTATTGTCTGTAAGTGATTTCTTTCTGTAATTTAATTAAGTCTCTAGCTACATGTAGTGCTCGTTGGTCATTACCTGTAATTATCCTCACTATATTCTTTTTTC